CGGGCAACAAAAGTATTTGTTATGCGGTAAAAATGCATAAAAATCCTGAGACCGGCATTTATTTAAATTTATGCCGTTATAACGTAATTTTGCATTACCCCAAAATGATGGCGAACCCCACCCGAAAAGGCAGCACCCCAGTCAGCGGCTCGCTGGCATTTTATTGTTGCACCAGCGTGTGTGGGTGTGGCACACTTTGCTCTGGCATTTTTATACAAATTTTTGCACATTTTGCGGCCAACGCCACCGACAAAGCCCAAAAGCCAGAAAGTTGCGCTGTGCCTTTTATGTTGGTTAAATAAGTATTTGGCAATTGTTATTTGAATAAACTATACTCGCGCGTCTTTTATTCTTTGTGCACCAGGCTCACTTGAATTCATTTGCTGTTATTATTTTTTTTATCGCATTTCAATTGTTTATCTGTGTTTACGTACGTTCTGCTTTTTTTTTTTTTTTAATTTTGTTATTGCGGATAATACGAAAGTTATTCATTTGTTATGCATATGAAGTGGATCCAAAAATGTGCTATGGTTTATTGCAGCAGTTGCTATAGCAATATTTCGGGCCGGGGACAACAAAGGAATAGTTCCCCAGTTAGAAGTCTGAGTGCGGTTTCCGTTGCGAATAGCATGCCAAATTAATAGAGAGCGCTTTAAAATAAGAACTCCAAGTCCACAGAAAGCTGTTTAAGTCCTGGTCGCAATGCAAACACCGTACAGCCGAGGCGAGCTTCCATTTGTCACTTCCAATTAGAGCGAGTCAAAGCGATTCAGGTGAACTCTGGCCCGGCTGCTAATCTCCCGACATCTGGACATCTGTGCCCAGGTCTCCAGACTTCGGATCCGGGGCTCGACCCAGACTCATTCAATCAATTGAAACTCTGACACTGCTTTCTGTGTTTTGAATACAAATTAGCCAAAGCGATGGCCGCCCCGCAACATGCAGCTGCCACGCCTCCAATCAAGCAGACACACACTCTGCAAAATAGAGAAGGGGATGTGGCGGCAAACTTTGGTTATATTAGTATCACTACTGCTTATATATTTTATTTTAATTCTTTTACAAATGTTTCCACAATTAAATACTTTCTAGCCATTTGAAAGGGGTAGTATTACTTTGAAATTGTGTGCAACGTCTGTTTTAAATATTAAAATAATGTTACAAATTAATTGAAATTTTTATCTTTGTAGGTCAACGGTTAATGGCAAAATTAATAATACGCAGTGTGGCCATTTCTCTAAAAGGAAGAAAGCATGTTAGTTTGTTCTTTTAATAAACCCATTAAAAAAATTGTAAATATGTTCATTAATCCATTTGTTTTACTTAAACCTAAAAGTTCAAGAAAATATTCTTTTTCCTAACTATGAAATATTTCTTAAATTAATATTTACATATTGTACATAATAGTAAGTAACAGTTTAATGCTAGCATTCTAGGCAACTAAATGAGGTTTTTTTAATTTATATAAGTAAGGAAGATGATTTATATTAGCGTTATTATATTTTCAAACATATACAATATAATTGCAGTGATTTATATTTTTGCCGAGTGCACGTCTCAGCTTGTGACACTGCCATCGATGTTTGCTCCGATGAAAACGGGGGTTAATTTAAATGCAAAGTAATTAATTAGACACTTGGCTGGCAAATCAAGTAATCCAATCTGGAGCAGAGGGCCCGGAGGAGGGTTAATCAAGGGCATCGCCCAGTGCAGTCCTCGGAAGACACACCCAGACCCGCAAAGTGACCAGCGGGCTAACTAAATGTGCTACAACATTCGAACATTCGAACAATCGAGTATAGTGTGTGCCATATATCAATGCGCTGCTCGGTCTGCCGTGTGTGCTTATCCACTCAGTGCCCAGACAATGGCAATTTCAATGATTTTGTTTAGCTCAGTGATTCGGAGAATTGAGTTCGGCTGCTAGCTGTCCACACACGAATATACGTATTATCCATATGCTACGTGCCGCAGGCAAATTGAGAACGCACAAACCCACTGACGTACTCGATTCGAATGCCTTTCAATGAATTGCTGGCAATTTGCAATGGTTAATGAAACGCTTTGTGCCGTGTCGATTGCATTGCACGGGGGGTGGACCTCCAAACTAACTAATCCAGCTGGTACTATATATTGACCGATTCCCTGCAGCTGCACCCAATCCGCTCCCTTCGCCGGTCCGCATCACTTTCCTTGTTTTCTTTGACATTCGAGTTACATTTTGGCCAAGTGCCATCGATTTCTGTGGCTCAGCAAAGTCGTGTTCGTGCACTGCGCAAAAAAAGGTCGATCTTAAGAACGCAGTCCTCACAGGCACTTTTTAGATGCATTTTATAAAAAATAAATACATTTCAACTCCCCTGAATGATAATGATTATTGATAATAACAGCATCAGATCATCCTGCTTACTTGAATGTGCTTAAAAATTTTCCCATTCACTAAAATCTGTTTTTATCTACTAAGACTACAACAGTTTTTTGGGTTAGTCACAAAGAATGTAAAATAGGTTTAATTAAATATTAATAAATATAAAATAAAAATTTTAAAATTCGACTTAGAGTTAAAATATTCTAAAAAGTTTGACAAAAATGTTACTTAAAATTAAGTTACAATATTCTTTGGGCTCAAAGCCAATTACAATGATAGGGATGAAAAGAAAACCATAAATATTTTGTATAAATCTAAGCTAAAACACAAAAATAATTGTGGATTATACTATAACAATATGGATATGACGATCATAACTCCGTTTTCCATCGCTTTCTTAGCCTTTTAGAGCAAAACTACTGAAATTGACCATCACTCTATTCTCCAAGTGTGTTTCTGGTCATTTCAATTTTGTAATTGAGATTAGCTTTTTGGAAATAATGGAGATCAGATCATTTAATTAACTTTGTTTTCGAGCACGTACTCCCCACTGCGGATGTCAAGGGCTGTCTGAGTGGGCGTGGTCCTCGGACGTACGTGTGCATATGCCCTCTGTGTGCCCGAAATGCCGATTGAACTAACAAGTTCTCGAACGCAATAATTTTGCGATGGCCGCCCAGCGTTAGTGGGCTCGACGAATGCCCTCAGTTGTCTGTTAATTTGCCGAGAAACAATTCCATTTGTTAATTTCGGCCCGGCATCTTTTGCTCAATTTGGCAAACAGATGGAGGAGCAGCGGCCATCGGAGCCTCTGAGTCCGTGTGTCTCGATTTCATTTCCGAAATTGAATTGCCAAAAATGTGGCATCAGTGCATCCGGACTCTCAGGCCCAGGGTCTTCAGTTGTCAGAGCCCAGCTCTTGGCCCTCGGATCCCAGTTCCAATTACAATTATGCCAGTCTCAGTTGGTCTGACGGACTCCGTTTCCGTTTCCGTCGGCTGCTCGATGCGTTTTTGGGTCTATGCATTTCATTTACACTGGCTGAGCCCTACAGAACCCGGTCTTTTCTGACTATCTTCGTCATCGTCTGGCGGCTGCTGTTTTATTTTCACTTTTCCCTCTCGCATGGCTTAGAACGAGCCAAATTGCATTCAGCTGTTTGTTTTTATGCGCTGTCACGAGAATTCCCAACTACTTTTGAATAATTTCATTTATTTATGTTCCCCATTGCGCGGCGCAAAAGTTTCGCTGCAGTTGCTCCGATTCTCCGCCTCTGCTGTCTTCAGTCAGTCAGTTAGTCGCTTATTTATTTAGTTTTCTTTCTTCTCCCTAAACTGCTGGAAAGGCGCAAAACTTGTCGCTGTGTGTCAGAAGTTCCATTTCGGGCTTTAAAAGGTTTCCTCTCATTGCAGCCCCACCCATTTTCCCGCCAATTGATGCCCCATTGTGTTCTCCTGAAATTATTTTAATTGGTCTTAAGTTTGAAAGGTGGGTCAGGTGTCGCTAGTGTCATAAGCGCTCACTTTTTTGAAAAGTTGGGGAGAAGATAAGAGCTTTACGCACTCCACTGTAATCTATTTATTTAGTTGATAAGCCAAAATTTCTATAATGCGTTTTACCCTTGCATATTAAGCTACTCAAAGCTAAGCTTCCGGTTAAAAACACAAAATGCGGTTAAATTCAATCCGTTTGTGGATTATTTGGCAAACAGATTAATTCTTTGATTTATTAGAAAATCGATTAAATGAAATGTTGCGGCATTGTGTTTTAGCTGGTCGAAATGTAATACCACACATGCGAAAGCAGCGCACAAATTATTTTCTTGCTGTACACCCTAGAGGCATAAAATAAATGGTGAATTTGAATATACCATGCCAACATAACTCCTAATAGAAAACCCTCCCAATTAGATACTGGTTAATCGTAGGCATCAGGAAATGCTTATGCTTTGACGCTGCAGCAAAGTCTCTTTTGACTTTTGGCAGCCTCTGGCCAGATTTGGCCTCTGCTGAATGCTTTTGGCAGGTGACAGCTAAGCTGCAGCAAAGTGAGCTTGCCAGACATCATGTAACGCAATTACGCATACGCCGTGTGCACCCCGGCCTTTGTGGCTGGCATGAGCGGCTAATTAGGTCCAAAACGCTCGACGCCATTTTGTTGTCAAAACCTGCCTGCTGAAGAATAGATGGGTGACAAGTATACTACGTGTCCAGATTTTTGACAACCAGCCAGCTCAGTGTTCCTAATTGTCACACCTCATTAACTCACAATGCGTTATTACATAACATAAATGCGACGACAAACTTTTTGGGAAAACGTTTGGCTTGTGAAAAGCCGGAAAAGATGAAAATAATTAAGAGACTTTAACAGCATAATTATTTTCGGCATGAATTATTATCAATTGGGAAGATTTTCTGTCAAAGACCAGTTTCTTTTTAACTACAACCATTCATCGGCTTTGACAGATATAAAACCTAATTAGAAAAGGTGAGTATAATGGTTACATGATCAGATTGACCTTTACTTGAATATGTTGGTTATTCTGGTCAACAAATAATTTTACCACCATGAGGCACTCTTATATGTGTTATATGTGTTATATGATAACTTTCTAAGCTGAATGACAGGGCGCTACTTTGTACCAAATGGCTATAAATGCATTTACTAGTCGACTTCTACACAAATCTTAAGAATTTTATAGCTAAGCTTCGGGCGGCCTTTGGAAGGCTGGAGGTCTGGAGGGCTGCCTGCTTTTAGGCTGCGCTTTTGCAGAGCCACCAGGGCTACGTCCTCCTCTATTTCTGGGTGGTTCGGTTCCAGCAAACTTGTCACTCGAACAGAAGTTTCTGAATGCATTCTCGGCGCCAACTTCTTGGTGCGAAAAGTTGGCGCAAAATACTTTGCTCGAATATTGTTTTCGCATGCTTTTGTTGCGCTAAGCAGCCCGTAAGAAGTCGCATTGCCCCGACTTTCCCTGCAACTCGGTCCAGAGCCATCCAGACAACGTAAATGTGCTGTCTTTTTAAGAGTTTTTATTTTGTTAGGTTTCTGTTGTGCCTTTTTTGGTTCGCTGTTTTGTTTTATTTGGTTTTATTCGGTTTTCTTCTTGCATTTTTGCCATGTATTGGCATTTCAGCGCTTATTTGTATCGTTTTCGTTCACTTTGTTGTTACTTTTGTTATAGCTTTTCTTTCTTTTGTATTTGTTTTGTGTGGTTGCTGTTTTCAATTTTGTTGCAAGCGCAACGCATTTTTGTTGTTTTCCTCTTTTCAGATTGTTGCTACTGCAGTTTTTTGGCAATTTCCTTAAAACGCAAAAGCTGAAAAGTTGCCTGATGTACGTATAAGCTTTATTTTCCCCCATCATTTCTGTGTGAAAATATCTATGCATGTTTTTTTTTAAGCAACAATTCGAACGACTTTGTAGCACTGGCATTGGCATTCGGCATGCATTGGAGAACTATGCAAATCTTTCATTAAACTCTCACTTCGATCCCGAAACTGATTGCCAAAGTTGAGGAGCTAGAAGCGCCTCTCGGGCGGGCTGAAAACGCTCTGGGAATGGATTGGTGTGAAAAGGGGTCGAAGTTCCCACCGCAGGCCAACTCACTTGAGCCCGCTTCAGAATGGAGTCCTTGGCGGCATCGTATTGGTACTGCTTCGAGGGAATCTCCAGCACAGTGGGCACAGCCAGGCTGTGAGCATCGACAGTGGGGCGAATCATGTCCGCGTACACCTGATTGATCAGAATGATGGCGATGTCAGGTCGGTTCAGGAACTTCTTGAAACATGCCTCAATCTGGTCGGGAGTGGTGTCTGCAAAAATTTGTATCGATGAGTAAATATAGCATACATGGCGAAATTTTGTAGGTATCAATATTTTTTCATTTTAAATCTAAATTTTTTAAATAAAAAAAAAAATAAAATAAAAATAAAATAAAATACACTTAGTATCACAATTGGTCTTAAACAAAATAATACAATCCTTTTTTTTTTGATAATTAATATATTAAATTACCCTTCTCCACAACCATAAAATTAGCTTCACGATCTTCATTGACTTCTCCAATGCCACCGAGCAAAAAACCGACACAAGTGTCCTTTGGGGAAGTGGGTAAAACTTTTGAGTTGGTAATGATGTTATAAGCCACCCACCTCATCGCCAATCACGGCGAAGAGACTTCCAAGTTCTTCCGACTCCAACGACATATTCCCTTAGCTTATAATTATATTAACTTGAAAGTAACGCAGTCCCATGAAAGCAAACGCCAGGGCCAACTGATGATAAATGCTCATAGTTGAAAGATAAATACATTTGTCAATGGATTTGCAATAAGTATATTACCGTACTAAATAAAAATAAATAAATCGCATTTATTTCTGCCATCAAACGATGTATGAATAAAATATATGTGCATCTGCCGCCGATGACAAAACAATTGTTTGAGTAAAATGGATGTGGAAAAATGGGAGCAGGAACTGAAAAACGGGGGAAAACTGCACTTGACAGCCACGCCGCATTTGATGGCAAAACGCTGGCTGCACTCCGCTGTTTGTAGTTCTGTCAAGCGTAAAACAAGTTTTATAATTGTTTAAAATGTTTGCTTTGCTGCCGCCGCCGCTGTCCATGGCAGTGCAATTTTATAACGAATTTTTGTCAGTTGCTGCTCAAAACTAAATCGAAAACAATGGCCGGCAGTCAGTGAATTGTGTGTCAACCCGCTCTCTGCTCCGCCCAATCCCTTTAACTGCGCCGTTTACGTAATGCCGACAGCTCCTAATTGGATTAGATAACTTCCCGAAGGGCTTAGCCAACGAGACCCAAAGATACGCATAAACCTCCGCCCACGAACTTGACGCACAGATCACCTTTGTGGCCATTGTCCCCTCTTGGGGCGAATCGCTCCAGATCTCTGGCCAAAATCCCAGCCATCCGGTTATGTGCACCAAGACAACTTCACAACTCGTTGGCGTTACGTAGTTGCATGGTGACGGTGGTGCCGGCATTCCCTAAAACCTAAATGCGACTAATTGCCGAACACGACTTACGACACACCAGCTGCCACTTGAACCCAACACAACACTCAACTCCAGTTAACATTTTTCAAATCAGCTCTAATTGTTTACAGTTTACAGTTTACATATCAATAGCCATTGTTGTTGTTGCCGGCGTGTGGCATAACTAATTATGATTAATGCTTCAAAGCCAGCCCCTGACATTTGCCATTAATTGACAGTTGGAGCAGCGGTACAGGCACATGCACTGCACAAAAATACTACATGTATTTTGGCATTTATATATTTGTTGCATAGAAACATATTTGGTATGACATTTGTTTGTAACTTCATTTTGGAATGTGCATTTCATGTTTTCTTTAATTAAGGTTTACGATGTATAAAGCAAAACCTTTTTTTTCAAGGTTGTTAAATAATTTGTTCACTAAATTAAAAAAAAGATAAAATTACAAATTTTGGATTGAGTTTATTATATTTTTTTTCAAAAGAGTTATGATACGAGTTATAAAAAATAAAATATGTGCATCTATGATTAAAATTTACATTTTGGCTTCAATCATTTTGTATTCATTATTAATTCATGGAAATATGTTTTTTATATCAAAAAATTAATATGTTTTAGGGGCATGTTAAATAAATTGAGATCATCATTTAATATACACATTTCCATCTTATTCATTTATTTAGCGTGTTTTTACTTACTTTACGTTACTTATCGCTTACGTCTTATAACCATTAAGTTGATTGCCTATTTAGCAAAATACATTTTATAAAAGGTTTGAATTTTTGTAGACCATTATTGAATAGATTCTGTGGAATTGCTGAAATCTTTTTCTGTGCATGCATGCTTCGCCCGAGGTGCATTGAACTTTTGGCTGAGTGAAAAAAAAAAAACTGTCATTGCACACACAGACCGACAATGAAATTGCAGCCGTGCTCTCCACCGCAATCCCATATGAACTGGAACTGAAAACTCAAAGCTCCAAGCCAAAACCCAATCGAAATCCCAACCCAGCCAAGCCATCGACGCTTTGGCCCGCTGACCTTTTTCCACACATTGCGATTGCTAATGGCAGAGCCATCGAATCCAGCGAGTTGGCCAGCCCCAAACTCACAACCGGCAATTCATGCTACCGGTTTTAGTTTATTGACTACTGGCAACATCAGACGCAGCACAGCAGCAACAACAGTTGCAGCTATGCCAGCAACATCATCAGCAGCAACAGCAATAGCAACAGCAACAGCAACAACAACAGCAACATCAACAACGGGAACGGGAACGGCAACAATGTGTCAAATGACTTTTGCTGGCCTGGCTTCTTAAATATGGTCATGGCGGCATTTAGTATGCTGCGGCTAGAAATTTTTCACTTATGCCCGGCACGTTTTGCCTATTTTCTCGATTTGGTTAGCTGAAAATTGAAATTTCAATTTTGAGTGCGAGGTTCTGGGCTTCTCTTTTTGACGGGGTCCAATTTTCTCTTTTTGCCTAGATTGTGTGACACGCATGGGTTTCACACTTTAGCTAGACTTCCATCTTCAAAACTGTTCTTGGATTAAATCGTGCTGGTTTGGCAAGCCTTTAAACCTTTGTTTTTGTATTAATTGTTATATCTAACAATAGCCATGTTTTATCGAAACTAAAAGTATTGTTTTTAAGTAAATAAGACGTTGTATTCAAATTTATTATAAAAAAATATTAATTAAGTAAATAGTTTAATAGTTAAGAAAAGGTTCCCAGAAATTCCCTGAGGTGCTTAAAAAACCGATTTCCAATTCCGATGTTCTACATGATTGTGTGGTCTTGACAGCTTAATCATTCATGCATTCCGAAGTCATTCATTCAGCAGCTGTCAGTTGGATCGTCGATTCTTCGGATTGTGCAACATCAGTTGGGTACAACCCCAGTGAATTCTTTCTCCCCCGTTGTTGCCTCTCACGTTTGAGTCGCGATTTCGCCTTCTGGCCGGGCTTCGCCGGCTCGTTTCTGCCTTTCGCCCTTCCATTTTGGCTGGGCCTGAACTTTGGGAAGACATTTGGAAGCATGGCTAAGTGCTGGCACGCCTCTTATTTATTTAGTGCTTAAAATACCATAACATTTGCGGGATTATGTAATCGAACCTGTCGCCGCCGCTGCTCCGCATGCACATCACGCAAATCAAGTCAAACCGAAAAAAAAAAAATTCGCAATACGCTTTCTTCTGAGCTGAGCTAAGCTGAAATGAATCGAAACGAAATGAAATGAAGTGAACCTTTCAGTGCGCGTATCGCACTGCTGCTGCTACTGCTACTGCTGTTTGTGATGTTTTCTGCCGCTGCCGTTGATTATTCAACAATTTTTATTGAAAGGTAAACAGGCGCTCACAAGAGTAAGAGCTGTAATCACAAGAAAGCCATGTGCGAAATGTCAAATGCAGGCGAACCGAGAGGCAGTACATGACATCGACATTAACGTCACGGCGCCAACATCGGCCGATTTATCTCACTGCCATTCACTTGCCAGCACAACGTACCATGCTACATACTGTACATATATTGTACATATGCACTCTCTTTGCGCGACTGCCAATCAGTTGGGTTGGAAAATAAAATTAGCATAATGACAATATAATAAACAAAGGCAAAGGCATCGTCAGCAGCGCCAACCGCAAATGATCGCTAGCCAGGCCATCCAGAACTACAGAATGGCGGGATGGCAGCAGGAAGTGCTGCTTTTGTCCTCCTCCACTCCGCTCCTAATTGGCAAAGGTTCTCCACCCAAGGCCCACCAAACCGCAGGTCGTAGTGTCTACACGGGAAAAAAACCTTAAACAAAAACTATTTCCTTAGTCAATCATAATTCAGAAGAAAATAGGCAAACAGAAATGGTTTGTTTTGAAAAATTTTAATAAGAACCAAATTAATAATTTAATTTAACATTAATAATTATAAAATCCTTTTGTAATTGATTAGTGTCAGCAACTGGATTTTGGTGAATAATAGCTTGGCCCTAACGTAGTCCAGTTAATATTATACAACTAAAATGTAAATTTCAGCCTGGGCAATACCAAAAACATACGAAATCTACTTGCCAATTTTGCATACCTTATGATGATAATAAGTAATTAACAAAAACTAGAAAAAAAAGCGATATAAGCTAAAAGGAGTTTTCACAGTTTTGTGAATTATTTAATATTCTAATTAATTACTCTTTTAGTAAAATATCCCTCATCGTTCTCTGCACTAACTTGAAGCATAAAACAAATTTAATTAATTTAATTTCCCTTACCATTGATTTTTAATGATCAACAATTTTAGTAGTCAACATAATTTAAAATAGCTCTATTAACATTAAAAAGGCTTACGAATTTCGTACAATTTATTAGCGAGCCATTCCTTTTCCTGTTAGCACTTTCTATTTAGTGCGAATTGATAAGTGGCTTTCATATTTTTGGGCAGTGTGCTGCCGATTGTGCGGGCGTTAACTGTTAATGTGCAGTTGGTTATTATGCAGGAGCGTAGCCAAAAATCGTGTCAATGCATTGAACGCAGCTCTTTGGGTTGATAACCTCTGCCGAATGAATCGAGCGCCCCTTCCCCGAATCCATCCCTCGTATTTGTCGATTCCACTGACGAACTGGGTCACCATGTGGCCGCTGAGTTGGCTTGCTGGCTGGTTGGCTGTCTGGCTGGCTGACTGGCTGGTGGCATTTTGGCCTTATTGGGCAAGCTGGAGAGCGGGTGTTGGCAGCCAGCGAAACCGTTAATAGAAATGCATTAAAATCAAAGCGTTTTGGCGTTTGTTCCAATTCTGAGAGCATGCCGCACATTAGTCGCCAGTAATGGCCGCCTGCAAATCACGCCACGAATCACAATTTATCAAGAAAACGTCACGTAATTACCAGTCGATGCCAACTACAAGATACATTGACAGTTGTCGGATACACACGGCGCAGACTTCTTTCCGAATTCCCAGCAGCTGCCTGCCTCCACCGGCAGATGCGTTTGATTTGTGTGCTCCATCCACACTCACATCCACATCCCGCCTCCCATCTACCCGATCCAAAAGCCAATGCCTCGTCTTCCACAGATTTTGTGGCTTCATTGTGCTGTGTCTTATTTTGTATTCCAATCACAAAAGGCGTTGTCAAAGCGGCGACAACAGCGACGCCAAGAGTTGTTGCCAGTCCTCCGGGCGAAAACAGTTTCTGACACACAGCGTAGGAGCCTCAGAAGCCAAGAACCGATCGACACGTCACTCTCCACAGAGTTTTTGACTCGAAAGTGGGCGTGTTGGG